TTTAATCATTCCCTGTAGAACATAACAAAGTTGTCAGTACTTCTGAATTTGTAGAGAGCTCATGATACCATTTGTGTACAAAGGAATGTGTGAGCTTTCTTTCATGATGGCAAACATGTTCCCAGTTTAGTTATCAAGTTAAGACATGTTTTTAACCTACAAAGTATAACCTATGAGTGGTAAGAGTGATACAGTAAGATACCAAGGACAAAAACTTGTAAGGTCATATACCAAAAGTTATTGCTTCTTGAAGAGCACATACTGCATTAGGATGAGTTGTTTCGTACTTCAAATTAATTGGGGCCATGTTGAGCAAGTGAATTTTATGAACTTCCTAAAACAGTGGCTCATGTAGCTTCAAAAGTCAAGCTGAAAACCAATCTTTGTTCCTTCAAGAGGGAAGTGCAGATGTCCAAAACAACTGCTACAGCAGTAGACCAAGAAAGTTGGCAAAAATGAATGTCGTAGGTGAGAAACCAAGCAACCTTAAACCCTTAAAAACTTCTTTTTATCCCTGCAAGATCAATAAAATGGAATCATTTACTCCGTTGTGTCTGTTTTGTGTATTTGTGTACAGACTACACCTGATATCAACCTATATTAAAGAGCTTCTCAAGAAATAACAAACAACAGCTCTTGGGGAACCACTCTACCCCTATTCACAAACCATAAAAAGTAAAAGGTCATGTGGAACCTAAAATTTCAAATATTGGCTCATAAACTGTTTGCATTGTAGTTTTGAATCAGCTACCACTACTTATCATAGAATACAAAGAACAATAACTACCACTACTTAACCTCCTATATAGAACCAAATGAAGTTATAATCTAATTCGTACAACAAAAAAAGGAAAAGGAACATTAACTTGCAACCAGCATCTGAAACAATTGCCAACCATGTTAAAAAGTCATCATTTGTACTACGAAGTAGAAATGTAGAATACACTTGCTTTGTACATCACGATGGTACGTCGTTTCTATTAACCAATCAATGCAGTGGCTCTTACCCTATGTCCAGTCGTACGAATACAGATACTCTAATGAGATATTGAAAATGAGGCTTAGTTTGGTTGGTTCAACACACTATCCGAGGGCGCGACATTATTGCTATAGCCCTAGATGGAACTCTGATTACGCGAATAGTGAACGAAGATGACATATCCCAAATCAACACTTGTACTGTATGGAAGACCTACTGGAGATCTAAGATCAACGTACACATTCAGGAATCTACCCTCTGCGGGTGGACAATATTACCTCTTCACACTACTATGTCAACAATCGGAGGTAGGGAGCTCTGATAACCACATGCAACCGCCGTGAGGAGCAGTGGCGGAGGCAGCATTTCATACTACCCCTGTCCTCTTTTCATAATTTAAATATATAAGTATTTAATTAAGAATTATTTAATAAAAGATAATAAAAAATTTATTATAGCCAAATAATTCATTCATAGATTCAAAATAACCAATTATACAATCAATATTTTCATAAACAACCACGAAAGAATTTCAAATTGTGAAATAAAAGCAAAAGCATTCGTTATCTACACTGTTAAATTAGTCTCTTTCAATGTATCTCACTAAACAAGCACTAGCAAACTGGTCGCCAAATCGACTTGAAAAATTGTTCCTAATATAACTCAAAGCTGAAAAATGCTCTTTTTACACTTGTAGTCGTAATTGGCAGAATCAAAATTAGTAGAATTGTCGTTGTCGCTAGACAATTCAGATTGTCGAGGAAAAGATTGAATATGCATAAGGAGAAAAGAGATCCGATTAGGTCTTTATTGCAATTGAAATTTCGTTTATAGTATAATAAATTAATTTTATGTCAATTTTTTAACAACTAATGAGATGTGTTGTAGTAACAAAATACTCTAATACTACCTATACGTGTTGTGTTCCATCACCAATATAAATATATGACATATTTTTGTTCTTCCAAAATTTACCCTTGTCCCGGGACAAGGCCGAAAGGGCCTGCCTCCGCCTATGGTCGGGAGAGTAGATGTGGGGCTTGCAATTTAAGAAGCAAATTGGCAGCTTTAGAGGGACTTTTTCAAAGTCAGTGAAATCAACAACTAAACTTTGAAGCAACAATAATCTGTGATGAAGTCATACTTGTTGAATATTATATCCAAGAATGCCATTTTTAACAATGTGTATCCTAATACTGCTAAGTTTGTGGTAAGCGAACGATATATGAGTAAAGTACTGTGGCAGCAAGGATAATGGTTTCCCTAGTGACTCCAGTCAACCATTGACCAAAACTGAGTTTTCATTCACTATCGATCCGCAACATGATTCTCAATCTCGTACGCCCACTAATCATAAGCACCCTCTGGACCCTAAACCGAAGGATGAAAAGCTGGGGATTGAAAGCTTACTTGAAATCCCAGCCTCTGCAGCAACAATAGAAGTCTTCGTTTGAGGATGATAAACGACCCCAGCGGTAATTGGGCGACTTATGCCAGTTCCTCAAACCACAAAATGAAGTAGTAAGCTCCTTCAAGATTTCCCGACCACGACTCAATACTTTAGCAGCAAGGGTTGATTTCGGCTGACTGTACAATGATTCTTGAGGACACCTTCGTAAGTAGGCCAAGCCACCGATTCAGAAGGAAGAGACGCCCTCCATCCTAATTGCACACCTAAATGGAGACGCGACGATTTGAAGCGGACATTTGGTTTTGCCCGTGCAAATCCTTCAATGGGACTCATTGGGTGTACGGCTGGTTCAAAGCGGTGGGATTGATTTTGGGCTAATGATACTATTTTTGGAGGGGAGGTGAAGTAGGTTGATGGTGCAAAGTTAGTGTGGAGAAGATTACAGTTCGTCGGAGGGAGAAAACCATGTTGGTGGAGAAGAGCTTCGCAGGGATCAGAGGGTAGTGCTTCGTCCGTCTTTTGGATCTCTTGAGAACACATATAATGGGGCTCGTCGTTTGCCTAAAAGGGTTTCGCCGATCGTGTCCTTCATTGATGTGGAATGAGACAGGAAACTGGGGTTGGATGATTCGAGTTCCAAAAAGGGGAGAAAAAAAACACAAGTGATGTGTTTGTTCTCTTCAGTAAGTCTGCCCCGCGAAAAGAAACAGTAAGATTACCCTAATGCCCTTACCGCAAATCAAGGGGAGAAGAGGAATTTTGAATCCGGGAAAAGTTCATCGAAGTGTACAATATATTAATGATGGATTAGTTCATTAGCTTAACAAAGCTTACATGATAAATTCAGTACAAGTGAAGTTTTGATTAACTCCAAGACATTACATACCCAATCAGCAAAGCTTTCCCCGGTGACAACATGGCGGTTGCACATGTGGCATATGACATGGCGCCAACAAGGTGACAACATGGCGGTTGCACATTTGGCGTGTATGGAAGACTAGAATCATATAGATGCTCCTAGGATTATCCACCTAAATGAGAGCTTAATGGTGCACTTATGAGTCTCATAATGGGTGACATCAGTAGAGTGCATTCTGGGAAACTTATTGGGGTGTAGTAATGGAGAGGGACATTATGAGGGGCATTGATGCCTTGTACGAGGAGAGGCCTATAAGGAGTCATCTCTCTCATTTGTAACTCGTTCCACATTTTTTAGAGTAATACACACTAGAGAGTTCTCTCACTTCCTTTGTCTTCTTGCTTTCTTTGCTTCCTTGTGAGAGTTTGGGAGAAGGTTGCTTAGTTCTCTAACTAAATTGAGAGTTAAGGCCGCACGACCCAGAGTAAGGCCGTGGCACTAACCGCTTGGAAGCCGTCATTCCCAAACTCGATCGATCCACCAGAGAGCTCCATCGATAAGGGTTTCTAAAAGGGCAAGGGAGAATTAATCGTCAATGAAGCTTTGGCTGCCAAGAATGCAGCCACCGTCTGCTGCGAAGCCTACTAATTACAGTCGATCGTCTATTCGCCACATGCATAGGGCTTAAACCAGTATTCATGGAGCGGTAATCAATGGGTACGGATCCGGTCAGTAACCTTATGGTGAGTAACTATGCATAATCCAATCATCATCCTCTACATCAGTGCCCCTTCTCTCTCCTGATAAGTTTTTAATTCCCCCCCCCCCCTTTTAATCTTTAACGGACTTTTTCTCACTTGTTTTAAGTTAGAATTTAATTTTTTTGCACAGTTAGATTAGATTAATTGCGCTCTTCAAAATGATATCCACTTTGATATATTTTTGAACAAAAAAAAAATTGAGCCATTTTTTACTAGTCTATACCATATGGCAAATATTGACTGGTATTGAAAAAAGAGCATACCATATGGTATGAAAAGCGTACCATGGTGGTATGAACATATCAAGACTGTAGGATGGTTGAATAAATGATAGTATGGGTATGCTAATTGTCATTTACAACTTTCAATATTGTGTACCACAAAATACCACCACCACGTACCAGGGTGGTATTGTTTGGTCTTGTATTTTGTTCATTCAGAAATTTGTAGATCCAATAGATCATGATGAACTCGTTCATTCTGTGCAAAAAATTTCAAAAACGACTTATAAACGAAAAAGATATCATATGGTATGGAGTTGGTAACGAGAGGCATGAATTTTTTTTTCTCAAAAAATATTGACAATGGATCTCATTTTGTAGAGCACAACGAACTCGTTCCATCTGTGCAAAAAAAAAAAAAATTGAAATCCGAGTTAAAATGAAGAATATATAAGCCGATTCAGAAAACAAGGAAAAATAAAAATGCTTTTAATTCTCCACCTTTAGATTTTTATTTTTTGAATCAAGGGACCGTAATCAAGAAAATGACAATTACACTTTTTCCACAGCTTCCATTTTGTTGTTTAGGTTCGAGGGGAAGACGGGCAAGTTTTTAAGAAAATTCATACTAACATACCCGTCAATTACAACAGTCACTGTCAATCTAAAACTCGTCAACACAGAATTCAACTCATTTTGTCCGGTTTGAATTATGTTGAATATTCATGGGTTGGCTCAATTTTCATAAAATAAAATAAAATTTTAAACGTGTCTGCCCCAGCACCGTCTCTTGCGCCGACATCCTCGCTTTCGCCGCGAGGGACAGCTCCCAGATACTCGGACCGTCGGACGCATCAACTACCCTGTTCTCGAGCTTCAACGAGGTCACGCAAAACCTCCCTTCCCCAAGACTCACCGCCGACCAGCTCATCCAGAATTTTGCCCGAAAAGGATTTCGGCCGACGAGATGGTTACTCTCTCAAGTGCCCATTCCATCGGCAGGTCCCGCTGCTCGTCGTTCTCTGACCGGCTTTACAACTTCAACGGAACGCGTGCTCAAGACCCGCACTACGCGACTAGTCTGAAGGCCACTGATAGAAACACGTTTTCGTGATTCTATTATTATTATTATTATTATTATTATTAGGATATTTACAAATAAGGATAGTAGTCTTTTAGTAGAATTAGGTTTATTATTAGGTTTTCCTGTCTTTCATATAAATATGTAATCTGGGTTTCATTATCAATCAAGCAAGAACAATTATTCAGAAAGTATCTCTCCCAAAACTAGGGCTGTTAAACGGTCTCCGGTTTTTCGGTTACCCGCAAAACCGAACCGAAAATGTCGGTTAATCGGCTAACCGATAACCGTTTATCATAATCGGTTGGCGGTGTCGGTTGGGGCTTTGGGGAATTATGGGCAACTGTCGGTTGGCGGTTTATAACCGACGGTGGTGTCGGTGCACCGTATAAACCGACAACCACCCTCTTTTCTTTTTTGCCTTTCCTGAACCTCTCCCAGTTCCCAACTCTCATCTCCTCCCTCGTTGCCCTGCCATCCTTATCCCTCCACTCTCCTCATCGCCCTCCATGGCACCTCCTAGTTCAAAACCAGACATGCAATCAACGAGAACGCTAAATCAAAATTCTCCTCGCTGTCCAGAATTGACGCCGCCGCCGCTTCCTTTCTTTGCCGTCGGCCGGTCTCGATTCGCGCGACCATCATACCTCTCCCTCTCCGAACTCGCCGCCTCACCGTTAGCTTCCTTACCCAGTTCCGTTCTTCGCCTGCCACCACCAATGTCCAAACCACCCCATCCTAAACTCGTCGCCCACCGTTCTGCATCTTTGCCACCACTACAAAGGAATCGTCGATGTCCACAGCTTCAATCCGCTGCGCGTAGGTCCAATCGCTCGATCCGAGTCCAAGGTCACGAATCCCGCCATCGGAAAAGAGAAAGTTCTGATCGATTACCTCCCTCGTCTACCTCGATCGGCGTTGCTTTGCCTTGCATGTTCTACGCGGCGCCGACAGATTCAGATCTGGATTTGCCTGATGCATCTTCCTCCGACAGTCTTTCTCTGTCAAGATTTGGCAGCGGAAGGATTTGGGCATTTGGAAGTTGTGCATGTGGTGATTTTTTGTTTTGATTTGGTGATGGGAGAGGGTAGTAGAGAGGTAGAGATTGGAATTTGTCAATGGAATTGGAGAGGGTAGAGAGAGAATTGACTTTTGGAGAAAGGGAAAGGTAGCAGGAACGGAGAAGGATCGAGAATGGGGCTTGGGGTGGGTAAAATTAATATTTTTTTTTCTTTTTCTTCTTTTCTTTTTCATTTATTGCGGTTAAATGTTAACCGTTAAACCGAACCGACCCTCTCGGTTGGCGGTTGCGGTTAACCGAGTGAACAATCGGTTGCGGTTGCGGTTGGCTGTTCCGACCCCTTATCGGTGTCGGCTAACCGCTCGGTCGATTCGGTTAAACCGCAACCGAACCGAGTATCACCCCTACCCAAAACCCTAATCCTCTATCTCCTAATTTCTCGTTCTCTAGCCCTCTAATGCTTCGGCCGATTCTACCTTCTATTCTTCTTCTTCCTCAAATTCCCAATCACCCCTCACAAATGATAGAACCCTAGAAATATAGTTCTATCATTTGGTATCAGAGCTCCGATTGCGAATCTGAGTTCATCACAACTCTCAACCGGGGACGAGTTCATCACCTTATCAATAAGATGCAGCAAAGAATTGAAGTCTTCAACATCAAATAAGAGGCGTGCCAGCAGCTCAAAGCTGTCACCCAGAAGGCGCCAGCAGAGCGCCTAACCTCCGCCTCGTGGAAGAAGGTGCTTGTGACTCAACCACCATTGTCACCACCTGCTGCTGAAGTCCCCAGCCAAGCCGTTTCAAGAGCAGTGAAGATGGAGATTCACGACAGGGGACAACCAACGAATGGTGGTTCTCGGCGAGTGACCACGACAAACAGAAGAGTCACAGATATAGAGAGAGCCCTGTCCTGGAAATTCAGAAGGAAACCGTCGAATAATCCACCACCGTCGGCTATAGCCTCGAGTCGAGCTGTGGCAACGACCACCCCTGAAGTTAGATATTAATCATTGGGGTTCACGGTCGCTTCAGCAGGTGCACGAGTTGAGGCTCTGTCCGCCGCCAAGCAACAAATCGGCGTCACACTCAGATCCAGCAGGGTGGCGTCAACCGCGAAAGCTCTAGAAGCGGCGAGGGAGGAGACGCTGGGAGAGAAGATGAGCACCGCCAAACCGCCTTCCGTCCACCGGGTGGGTTTCTCGACGTCTGAAAAGGCGACAAGGAAGCTGGAGATCTCGTCATTGGCGGAGTTCAGCGTCGTAATCCACCGCCAACGCAAGACAGAGGCGAAGGAGGGGAGCAATGTCGGCGTGCGATGCGAATTAGAGAAGGATCGTCGGGGTGCTTGTCGTTCGAAGGCGAATTCAATGAAGGCGGAGAACCAGAAGCCGAGGGTGGAGGTGGGTTGGCCTTCCGATTGCCTGATGAGCAGCCTGCCACCAACGAATTGGAAACCGGAGAAGAAGACGACACGGGGGCCGAGTGGGGCGACTTTGCCGTCGGCTGCCAAACTCCTAGTGATTCGCTCGTGTCCGGAGAACGAGCCAATGAGGCCACTGCCAGAGCTGAGAAGGGTAGCGAAGGCTGGACTCTTGGTGGAGGAGAAGTTGAAGTTGACGACGGAAATCCAGCAGTCCCCACGATCTGATCCATTGGTGGCGTCGAGGATGAGGTCGAGAGCGGACCGGCAGCTATGCTGTCGGAGGAGTTGCTCGCCGCCGAGAATGGAGAAGAAGAAGCGCGGTGGCGGGACTCTTTGCTCGGCGCTGAAGAAGCCATCGCCGCCGGGGAGAAGATAGCGGAGGCGGAGGCGAAGAGGGATGCCGGCATCTCTCGCTCGAACCCTAGGCGGCCGCTCTAGGCCGCGCAACGAACCAGGTCTGGTTGAATCAGGCGGGCAGGCTGAAGTTGGAAAGGTACTTGGCCGAACAAAAGCTGGTTCCTGACCCAATCCTTGGGTCGGACATGAGCATACTAATCGGGTGTCTCTTGTACAAATCCGGGCTTGATGCGAGAGGCCCAATGGTGGAGGAAGGTTGTTGCGGTTTGGGCCACGAGTTGGCTAGCAAGATGAAGGTTGTTGGGCCGCAGCTAGGACTTGTAAATGCCAAACAAGGGTTAAGTTGCGGGTCGGGATAAAGAAAGCCCAACAGATCTCAAGGAGAAGGAGAAGATGGGTTTCTTGAAAATAAAAGGTTTGGATTTCAATTAGATTGTTTAGTTGAACCTCTTTATTATGGTGTGGGCTTCAAAGAAAAAGAAAAAGAATTCGTGGGCCTAGATGATGGGCTCAAGGAAGAAGAACTATATGATTCTTACTTTGTGGAGTTTGAAAAGGAGCACGGAGGGTCATTTGGCCATGGTTGCAATTTGAGCCACGTGGATTGGGAAGAGGCCATTGGAGTCGGAGTCGCTGGAGTAGGCTTCATTCGAGTAGTGGAGCACAATTGGAAGAAAAGGAAGCGTAAGGAATGGAGGAGTCGACCGCGGATTGCGCGAGAAGAAAGGGAAGAGTGGGTCGAGCTTATCAACCTTGAGGGCAATGTTGGTCTCAAGGGGGAGGAGATGATAGAAACACGTTTTCGTGATTCTATCATAATTATCACTATTATTATTATTAGGATATTTACAAATAAGGATAATAGTCTTTTAGTAGAATTAGGTTTATTATTAGGTTTTCCTATCTTTCATATAAATATGTAATCTGGGTTTCATTATCAATCAAGCAAGAACAATTATTCAGAAAGTACCCTCCCAAAACCCTAATCCTCTATCTCCTAATTTCTCGTTCTCTAGCCCTCTAAGGCTTCGGCCGATTCTACCATCTATTCTTCTTCTTCCTCAAATTCCCAATCACCCCTCAGAATCGATAGAACCCTAGAAATAGAGCTCTATCAGCCACATGCCCCGTTAACGGCGGCAGTGATCCGACAGTGGCGCTGGACCCGGCGACGCCCAATCGGCTGGACAATAGGTACTACGCGGAGGTGAGAGCGGGGCGGGGGTTGCTGACGACGGACCAGACGTTAACGGAGCGCCCGACGACAAGGAGGTACGTGGATGTGAACGCCAGGTACGGTGTGGCGTGGGCTGGCAAGTTCGCTCGGGCGATGGTGAGGATGGGTTCCATAGATGTGCTTACTGTGAATCAGGGCGAGATTAGCAGGTGGTGCAGCATGGTCAACTGATATTGGACTGGATTAATATATACTTACGGTGCAGCCATGATAGATTATCGTTTTACCTTCTTTCTATATATGAAATTGTCATTCTTAATTCATCTATAATGGAATGTTTGGTGGGTAGCTTACTAGCTTATAATAAGTTGTAATAATTCTTCATGATATGATTTTATTAACAATAGATAGAACAACCCACTTAACAAATATAGATGGCGGATTCAGTAGTGCCGTGCCGGCACTAATGAAGCCACATTTTTAGCCGCCAATCAAACATAAAAAGTTGAACCCGGTTGAACCAATTTTATATTTAAATTTCTTATAATAATTAAATATTAAATACTACAACGAAAGGAAACTTGTTTATTAATTGTAAAAATTACTTCTTTTTTTCGGTAATTACTTCTTTATTTTGTTGCTCCTCATTCCCAAAAAATCATGCCCCTGCCGAATACTTTGCCATCTCCGGAAAACGAAGAGTATAGTTCGTGTCTCTTGATTGTTCGGGTGGATACCCATTTACATGGATTTTTTTGGCCATCCACAATATTCATGATAGCTCACTCACACAAGGAAACGTCGAGGAAGTTGAACAGAACATCACTTGTAGTGAGGAACCACTTACCAAATCAACGATCTCTAATCTTCATCCATATCATGTGGGAATCAAGTTCTTCAGCATCGGGATCAACCACTGGTCATCCAGCAAAAATAAGAATCCAAGTGAGTTGTTGGAAAGGATAGAATGAACCAACACATCATTTTTTGTCGTCCTCTCAAAATTACTATGTTAAAGGAGAAAGTGAGAGAGGGCATGAGTATAACCTATGTAGGACTCTGGAGTGAAGGCAGTAAAACTAGTGCCATAGACTTGATTCTGAAAAGAAGTTGGCCACCCAGGTAAGACTTCACAGTGGCGGTGGGTACTAGAGCCAGCAGTAGTGCAGCCGCCATTGTCAAACAATTTAAACTTGCAAGCTTGGAACGAATCTATTAATCCGATGCCTGCAGCTCTATACCACACGAAGAAACAAAACATATCAGACCTCTCATCGTCATTGTCATCGTCATTTCGAAAAGGAACAACCATTACACTCCCATCGTAGAAACTACCCTGTACATTCACCACAATGTTGGACAGTTCAGGTAGCTCCACCTCCTTCTCACTATCCTTAACAAAAATGCCGAAGTTGCGGTCAGGTCCTGTTTCTTTCATCAGAAAAAATCTATCTTTCTGAACAACACTCGAGCAGAGTGGACTAAGAAACACATTTTGCGTGTACACAGTCGTCAAAAGTGAAAGTGCAGAAGACCCACTATCACGATGAATGTGTTGCCACTCCAGCTTGTCCATTGCCATGTCAAGAGAATACAACTCCCATTGACCAAAAACATGGCTCACAACAACATACAATAAACTCTCTACAACGACATAACCATTGATGTCAGGGTAGGTACGTTTGGTCTCGTCCCAATCCCAGAAAGGGGCGTGGACATTCTCGACTGTAAGATCTTTGAGATGCAAAACCTCGCATGGGGCCGGACACTCCTTGGGACCATAACTGACTGGAACATATTCTGTCGCCAACATAATGAGCTTCTCGTCTTTGTAGGGAACATGAATGCAGTTTCGCTTGGGTCCCAGCAGTTTGTTTGGATGCTCAACGCATTCGAGCGATTCATGGTTTTCTGGATCGTCGGGCAGATCACATACGAACAAACTTCGCGGGTACTCGAAAACTTCGTCATAATTAGGTTCTGGATTGATAATGCGTCTACCGGCGCGACCACCAAAAGCATATAATTTGGTTCCTAGTACAGCAAAACCCATACCGTAACGGAATTTCTGGTTGGAGTTGGCATCGGTTGGGGCGGTCACCTTGCAGGTAGCTCTGTGGATCGTGTCGTCCCTGGACTTACCCATCAGATCAACAACCACATCATCTTCGAAAGCACTAACGATTCCGACATCCCACCACTTCCGTCGCTGCCTCTTAGGCTCTACCATCGACTCCTCCGCCAACGACATCCTAATAATTGAGGATTTGGTTGGCCGTCGGCGGCAAGATGAAAAGAGAAGAAGAGATAGGGCCGGGGGAAAAGTGGGGTGTGGAGAAGTCGCTCGATTAGGGTTTTGGTAATGCCTAATTGCTAGGGGGGGAGGCAAATATAATAACTAGAGCTTGTTTGATTGGGTGTAATTGGAAACGAATTCTACAATTGCATCTATATTATAGATTTTTTTTTTGTCGAAATCTATATATTATAGATTTAGTTATTTACAAGAATTTTTAACAATAATTAATTAAAACTGGAAATGTTATTGTTAGGTTATGGTAGACTTAAATATTAAAATTGAGAAATTTGTTTTGTAAATCCTGAAAAGAATAAGTGCTCCGAATTTCTAGGAGTGCAACGAAAAAAGCTACAACAGGCGCACTAGAGTTTTCACTACCCATGCCGGCGGTGAGTGCTCCGCTGGCCGGGAAAGGGGGAACTGACAGCCCCATGACGACGGAGACAACAGCAGGCCAGAGAAGACCTCTGACGGAATCCTCCTATCCTAACCCTAAAGGGGATAGCTAGGGAGGCCCAGCAGACGAAGAAAAGGGCAAAGCAAACGACTCCTCAGTTCGATGTTGATCGTGATGAACCCCGGACGGAAGCTGCGAAGTTAGGTCCGAGCAACGTTAGTCCGAGAAGCCCTCGCCCATCGGCGTGGGCTCGAGTGCAACGACTGCCCGTAAACTGTTTGGAGATACGTCGTAGACTGGGATGTGATATCTTGCAGAGTCAGACTCCGACGATGTTGCGGAGGCAATGAGGCAGGAGGGGAGCGGGATTTGAGGGGGAGGAGGATCCTAAGTGTCCTCCGATCTATTTTATGGTAGCTGAGGAAAGGATGTTCAATCGGGAATGGCGATCGGCGCTCGTGGTGAAGGCGTTGGGAAGATCTGTATCCTATACGCTAATGGCCAAACGGTTGACGAATATTTGGGCAAAAGTGAGTACCATTCAAATAACCTCGATCAAAAATGGGTATTTTCTTGTTCGTTTTACCAGTGGCGTCAACTATGAAAGAGCGATTACAGGTGGTCCGTGGATGGTGGGCGATAACTACTTAACAGTCCATCCTTGGACTAAGGACTTCAGTCCTTATGAGCATGAGATATCATCCACGATGGTATGGACAAGGTTGTTTGGGATTCTGATTCAGTATTTTCATCCAGTGGTCGTGATGAAGATTGGGCAACGTATTGGGAAGCCACTAAGAGTTGATCATGCAACAACACAGGTGCTCGAAGTGATTATGCTCGGGTGTGTGTCCAAGTTGATCTGACGAAACCGTTGTTATCTATGTTCATGTTGCATGGGAAAAAATATTTTATCCAATATGAGGGTTTAGAGAATATTTGCTTGAAGTGTGGTACGTATAGGGAGTGGGGGCATTGTTCGTGCATGCATGTCCCGGCGGAAGCGGAAATGGAGACAGAGACCGTTGTGCTGAACAACGACACAGAAACTAAAGAACATGAGGCTAGCTACCTATGGTGATTGGATGATAGCAAAGAAGAGAACACAAAGGAAGGAACAACCTAGTTGAGCTACGGACCCTGGTACGCATAAGGGAAGTAATGCTAATGAGACACGAAGCTCGCCGGGTAGTTCTAGATACAATGTGTTGAATGTTGACAAGGTTGAGGAGGTAGAAACAACGAATAAATACAAATTGAATGTTAGTTCCCAAAGTACTCCCAAGAGTAATGAAGTGGGCAATCTAACCACAAAACAGACGTGGAAAGAGGTCAGCGGGGGAGCGAAACAAGGAGAACAACCAACGGGGTCATCAGACCAGCTGTCGGTGAGAACCACTAAGGAGTTCCCTCCAACTGCTCCTCTACCGAAGGAATTGCAAGTCAACTCCACAGTGCAGTCAGGTACGAACCCAGCCATGGTTGAGGTGCGACCGCAGCCGGTAGAGTCCGCAACACGAGCTGCTAACCAGTGCATGGACACCATTGAAATGAGTCACCAGTCACGTCCCCCAGACAACTTGTCTCTAGCTAAGGGGATTCTAGGGGAAGCCGCAACAGTGATGGACCATGAGATAACAAAAAGGTGCCTCAGTATTGAGGCCTCTTTGCATTGATCCTGTGGGTGTGTTGCTAAACCTACTGTCCATATGGTTTTGATGTTCAATATTTCAACGTGGAATTGTAGGGGTGCAGGGAGTAAACTCTTCTTAGGGTGTTTAAGGAGTATCGACGGAAATGTCGTCCTCGTATTGCGATGATTGTAGAGCCGAGAATCAGTGGAGACAAAGCGATCCAAGTAGTTGAGAATATGGGGTTTGATAAATACCTAATTGTTGACGCTGTGGGGTTTTCAGGCGGTATATGGTTGACTTGGGACTCGTCCTTAGTCACTATTACCGAAGAGGATCGTTCGATATAACTGTTTCATGTTAAGGTTAACTCGGGTAATGAGTGCTGGTTACTATTAGCCGTGTATGCGAACCCAGCTTTGGTTCAACGGCGGGACCTTTGGCAGTCATTGAGAGAGTTGGTGGAGAGTGTAGCGAGTCCTTGGCTCGTTGTGGGGGACTTCGGATCTATTCTACAACCATCGGACAAGTCAAGGGGGTCCCTTTTGATGCTAGTCGGGCAGGGGAGTTTCAAGATTTTATTTTGGATGCGGGACTCTTGGACCTCGGCTTCACTAGTACTCCGTTTACTTGGTTTAAGCGAGGTGTTAAAGAAAGGCTTGATCGGGGATCGGCTAATTCTGACTGGTCGAATAAGTTCCCAGGGGCGATTGTGAGGCATTTGCTCAGGGTGAAAAGTGATCGCCGACCTATTCTGATTACCCTGAACCCAAGTTTTCAGCCTGCGGGTCCGAAACCGTTAAAGTTTCTTACGGCATGGCTGACCCAAGTTTAAAATCCTTTTTACTTGCAAAACACCATATTCCTCAAAGTCGCATCGTCGAAACTCACTCTAAAGATCACTTAACCTCCTTTAACAATTTTCTAAAAGCAATCCCCTCAAAATCAACAATTTTTCCTAATTAATTTCGTATTGGACGAATTTTTAATTAATTTGAACCTTATTAAAAATTCATATAATAATTTTTCCATGTCGATTATAAGCACCTATACCCTGAAATATTATCAAAACCTTAAAAATCCATAGGAAAGATTTTTATTTAATTAAACGAACATTCATCCAATTTATAAATTAGTAATACATCTTCAAAAATCCCCAAATTAAATCACAACCATCTACTAAGCGTCCCTCAATTTATAAAATTTCAAAATCTAGAAAAAATCAAGGGAAGTGGCTCGAAACAATTTAAATATCTTAAAACACGTTTCTGGAAATTCACTGCAGCCTTAGTGGCCACCCAAAACCAGTCACTAAAAGTCCGTAAAGTCTGTCGCTAAAAACTCAGAATTGCACCCTCACGAAAAATCCCAAATTAATCGATCTAACTCAAAGGGATCGAGTTCCCTTACCTCTAGAACGTGCCTAGGACTAGATTGGATAACCCGGAATGCTGATCTCCTCGTTGATCGATGATTGAACCCTCAAACGTCACCTCTAATAAAAATACGGGTTTCGGATTGGACTATCGATAAATCGAATTTAGAAATCGCAAAAGGATTCGCAATCGTTACCTAGAAACACGAAAGGGATGAGATCAAGGTCGGGAAACAGGGCGGAGACGGCGCTCCCTTTCTTCTTTCTTCTTACCGCGTGGTTGCAGGGGGAATGACAATTGTGGCGGGTGGGTTTGTTTTTATGGGTGGGGATTATGTTTGCTGGTGGAAATAAATTAGCGAGGGGCCCGAGCGGCTCCCCACCTCTCTGTATATATCTATTTTTTTATAATAATAATAATATTAATAGAATAATAATAGTTATTATTATTATTATTATTATTATTATTATTAATCCGCGATTGCAACTCTTAGTGCGTAATCGTCAATCCAACCGATCATTTATTATTAGTCGAACCCGCATCCAAAGGTCGGGGTGTTACATAGCTACACTGTTTACCGTTTAAGAAACAACTAATTAAATTAATCCCAAAAGGAAAAGACAACTAATTCCGCCCTATAAGTATACCAACCTGATAAGTTTCTCAAAAAAGTCCGTACTACTTACTTTGTAAAGAGCAACTGCTACACCACATATATTCTCTTTCGTATCCAACGCACTAGGCCTCCTTTCTCGTATTCGATTATTTGTACACCACAATTAAGAGTCGCATCCATGCATTGTTCATAGGCATGCTCTTTCTCGTGATGATCATGTTGTTTGTGTTGGGGGCAAATTCAGCAGGTTCCCCGCCTTTCAGGGTAGGCTTCTACAGGCGGTCTTGCCTAGCTGCAAAATCCATTGTGAGAAAAACCGTGAGAAGGGCAATCTCTCTCAATCCATACATCGGAGTCGGGCTCATCAGGTTGCACTTCCACGACTGCTTCGTCCGGGGTTGCGATGGTTCAGTGTTGCTGAAATCCCTCCCAGTTTACTAATTTTGTAGTCTCTTGCTCAATATTAAAATTATCTCCAAAACTCTGTAACTGCTATGATTTAACTAAGGAGAAAAGCATAAACAACAAGCAAAGGAAGCTAGCTGCTCAAGATTCAAGGTACTTATGTTGTAAATATTACCCTGTGTTGTTAGAATGCTTCATGAAAAATTATTTGAGTAATCATCAAGAGGTTCGATTGACTATCTGTCATGAATAAAAAGAAGATTTTTTTTCTTCTCAAATTGTTGGTGTCTTGGTTTAAATTGACTTGAAATTATGATTTAATTTCCTCCAAGATCTCATGAAACCAAAATTATTTTCCCTTTTCAAGACTAGAAACTTAAGATATTCTGGCAAGAGCAAACCCTTATTTCCTTTTGCTGAAAGTTATTTATTATATCTCCATCTCATGCATATGACATTTTTTTGGAATGTTTTCTTATATTTATGAATGATAATATATCCATGCATCACAAATATGTTCTTATTCACGAGTCGCATGTTTTGTTTTGGATCACGGTTATCTTGTTTTAATTTCGTTGTGTTTTATACAAACAGTGTGGGAACCTTTGTGATACGTCTGAATGTCTGAATGTTTTTGCTTGCATGCAGTTATTCTATATTTCATTTATCCAACTACAGTATAAAAAGACGGGAAAAAATTTATCCAATTATTATGTTTAAAGGTATGAAATAGTGATGGTAAATGGTTGGAGTGGGTGGGTATCTCAATACCTGTACACGCCATGCAACAACAAGCAGTAATCGATTCACATTTTTCGAAGTGATTAATTTAGTAACAAATGGGAGTGGATTTGGTTAATGTAACAACAAGCAGTAATCGATTCACATTTAACCAAATTAATCAACTGACCAAATGGGAGTGCGTTGGAGCGTCAGCTAATTAAAAAAAAAAAAACTCAGAAACCTCTCCCCTCTCCCTTCGTTCGTGGATAGTGGGAGCGAGGATAGCGCCGTCGTGCGCATCGCCGAGTGCGATTCCCCGGCGTGGAGCGCCGACGGGGTCGAACTGTGGCCTCATGGGGCTATTTAAACAGATCGTCAGAGGTCCCCTCCCTCACCTCGCGATTCCCAGATCGATACCTTGTTCCATTGAGTTTTCCACAGTAGGGCTCAAATCTTCTTCCGATCATCGCACGATGTCTGATGCCAGAGCGGTCGTCTTTGGCGATGCTGATGTTGCCTTCGGGGTGGAACGCAATGAATTCTCACTTTTGGGCAAGATTATTGGCCCCTCTCCGCCGCTCCGCCAACTGCTCACCACTTTGGGAGGATTGTGGAATTGCTCCGGTCCAATCTCCATCATTCCGGCGGAGGAGGGATTGCTGCAGTTCGTATTCCCCAACGATGCGGATTTGGCTCGGATACTGAGGATGGCGCCCTGGATTTTGCCCAAATTCCTGGTGAATTTGGCCCCCTGGGTGGCGGTTACCCCCGAAGTGGCATATCAGATGTGGAGGGTTCCCCACTTCCTGCAGTTTTGGGAGGTGCCAACCCCATGTTGCTCGAAAAAGATGGCCACCCTCCTCGGTGGATATCTCGGCAAGACGGACCTGGGGGCGGTACACCGCTCGAAGGAAACCGCGGAAATATACCTCAGGGCACGGGTCTGGCTAGACTCTCGACTTCCCCTTCCGATCTCAGTTCCGGCAACACATGAGAAGGCAGGTAAGGGTAATTTTACTGCCGCTGTCAAGTTTGAGACACTCTCACGGTTTTGCTATCTCTGTGGAGTGCTGGGTCATATCGGACAGCAATGCCCAAGAAGGGAGGAGCTCGCATGCAGACCTTCTCTGTACAATCGACAGTTGATCTCGAAGAAGTTTGGCCCCAAGGTCAACGAGCGCAACCTGCTGGGGAGGAGGAGTTTCACCTAGGTGCGATCAGGGCAGATATCCCCGTCCTTACAGAGTCGACAGGACCACTTACGCCTGCTCCCGGCTCCGGAGCAAAGCCCAGGCCTACCTCTGCTGCAGTAGGTATGGTTGAGGGGATTTCTTCCTCGGCAAGTCAAGCTAGGGCCAGACTATTTGACAATGATGTATTGCAGGATCAGCCCGAGTGCAAGAAACACAAGATGGAGGTGATGCAGCCTGTGATTACAAATGCTAGTGATACAGCGGTGGAGGAAACCAACCCTGACTGGTCCCACAGGGATAGATGAGCATTTTGGTGTGGAATTGTCGAGGATTGGGCTCTGCCCTGACAATTCCCTCACTATTCGGAGCTGTCTGTCGTTTTTCACCTTCATTCCTTTGCTTAAGTGAAACTAAACGTGATGATGATTATGTAAATAAGAAGATCAGTAGGTTAGGGTATGTTCTGGTTGGCTGTGTATCTCCAATGGGTCTTTCAGGGGGCTTAGCTGTGGCCTGTACTCATGCTATCCAGTGTAGGGTGATAGGTCGAGAAGACTTTTACATTTCCGTAGAATGGCAGCACTTAGTTTGGGGGAACATTGTTATCTTCTTTGTCCACCTCAGTTCCGTTGTAAATATGCGTGCTCTGCAATTTAATGAACTTATCCGTTTGGTTTCGTGTTGTGATTCACCGGTTATTATGTTAGGGGACTTCAATTGTGTTCTTTTTTCATATGAGAAACAGGGGGGCAGGCCGCCGTCTTTCTCCATGGTCGAACAGTTCCAAGCATTCCTCGACGGCTTGGGGCTGCTGGATTTGGGGTTTAGAGGACCCCCATTCACGTGGTCCAATCGACAGGGCCTAGCCACACATATCCTTGAAAGACTAGATCGTGGGTTAGGATCTGAGTTGTTCATTAATGATTGGCCTAATGTGCAGGTCCTTCACCTAACCGATCTTGGCTCTGATCACAGGATGCTCCTCTTACAGCTAACTCCTGGCGCAGGTAAAGGGAAGGGCAGATTCCATTTTGACAGGAGGTGGACTTCGAATGCTGAAGCACGGAACATAATCTCCACGGCGTGGCAGGTTGTTACCCCAGGAACTCCCCAATTCAAGCTGTTCTCATCTCAAAAGACAGCTCGACATCACCTGGTTGAATGGGCGAAGAGTGGCACCACAAATTCAGCTCGCATGATCAGGGAACTCAGGCTTGCCATCGAGACGGAACGGGACCAGCTGCCTGTAGATTGGGCTGTCATCCAAAGGCTCGAATTCCAGCTAGCAGATGCTTATCGCCAAGAAGAGGTCTTTTGGAAGCAAAAGTCGAGGAATGGGTGGCTTCGGCTGGGAGATTCGAACTCGCACTTCTTCCACATTACTATGAATCAGCGAAGACGGCAGAATCAGATTGAATTTCTCAGAGATGATGATGGGTTTGTCCATGTGGAGGAAGAACCAAAAGGTGAGGTAGTTGTCTCATATTTCCAATTCCTGTTTACATCTAATGGCAGCCCGTTTTCCTTCCTTTTGAATGCTTTGGGAATTGCTCGCAAAGTTTCCAGCAGGCAAAATACATATCTTGTAGCTCCGGTATCCCATGAGGAGATCAAGAACGCAGCATCCGACATTGGCCCTTCTCAAGCCCCCGGCTCAGATGGACTCACAGCAGCGTTCTATCATTCCTATTGGGAAATTGTTGGTAATTCCGTGTGTGTGGCTGCTTGTTCGTTCTTTAGATCAGGTCGGCTGCTTCATAATTTCAATCATACACTGATAACCTTGATCCCCAAAATCCCCAACGCGGACTCAATGAAGCAGATGAGACCAATTGGCCTGTGTCAAGTTTTTTATAAAATAATTTCTAAGGTCTTATCTTCTCGTTTGAGCCAGGTACTACCATTTGTGGTAAGCGAAGCTCAGAATGGGTTTGTCAAGGGTAGGGACATCTCGGATAATATACTCATTGCACAGGAGGTAATGCATTTCCTAAAAACGAAGAAGCAAGGCAGTGAAAAGTGGATGGCCCTCAAACTGGACATGGAGAAGGCGTATGACCGAGTTGAATGGGGATTCCTGTTTGGTGTCATGGACGCTTTAGGATTCGACGCTGGTTGGATCAAATTAATCAAAGCATGTGTTACAACGGTCACATTCTCCGTTCTGCTGAATGGGCACACTCATGGTTATTTCCGGCCTGAACGTGGCATCCGACAAGGTGACCCACTCTCACCCCTCCTCTTTGCCATTTACACTGAAGCTTTCTGTACTATGATTTCGAATGCTCTGGAAAATCAGCAGCTACATGGATTAAAAATTCATCGTTATGCGCCGCTAATATCGCACCTACTATTTGCTGACGATACCTACCTTTTTTTGCGAGCTTCCACCACGGAATGCATGCAACTCTTGCAGCTGCTTAGCCTCTATGAAGCGGCAAGTGGGCAAAAAATCAACCTCCAGAAATCTAAAGTCTGCTTCAGTGCAAATGTCTCATCTCAGGAGGCGTCTAACCTGGCTTCTACTTTGGGGATAGCATCTATTGGAGAACTTGACAGATATCTAGGCTTGCCAGCCCAGATTCACCGATCCAAGGTACAGAATTTTCGGTTCCTAGAAGATGGCCTAAGTAAGAGGATTCAAAGCTGGAAGACAAAGTCGCTCTCGCTGGCCGGGAAAGAGGTCGTGATCAAGGCTGTGGGATCGGCAACCCCAGTGTACGCGATGCATTCTTTCCGCCTTCCAGCCACCACCTGTCGACGTATGAATGGGCAGCTCTCCCGCTTTTGGTGGGCAAGCCAAGACAAAGATAAAGGGATCCACTGGGTATCTTGGCCGGCCATTTGTGTTAGCAAATTTCGGGGGGGGACTTGGCTTCCGGGATTTCGATTTGTTCAACATAGCTATGCTGGCAAAGCAAGCTTGGAAGCTGCTGTCTTCTCCATCTTCCACTCTTGCTCAACTATACAAGGCCAGATACCACTCTTCCTGTGATTTTCTCCACGCCCCAGTTGGAAATCGGTCGTCATGGGCATGGCAAGGAGTTTTACAAGGCCGCGCACTACTCCTCAAAGGTTTAAGGTGGCAGGTGGGTTGTGGCACATCTATCCGGATTCTTG